GTTTTGGTATAGGATTTTTATTTGTAAGTTTATTGCTCCTATGTTTTCTGATCCTCCCTTAGACTCTAATTATAAAACAGAGGTGCTGTCCTTAATCATGCCACAAGGCAACATTGTATTTTTGAGACTCAGAAATGGGAGGACAGTGCCACTATTTCCTCGGCAGCCTTGGAAAGACTATGGCTGGCAACAATGAAGCGTGCATCATGGCACACGTGGATAAGTCTCCTGGCTTATTCAGGACACTTTGGTTTAGAGGATGAGATAGGAAACTCACACGCCGCCTCACATCCATTGCATAATATCACAATTTTCAAAACCACGCAAGGAAGAGAGCAATCGAGGGGGCAAATCATACTGTGTGTTGGCTCTTCTTAGGCAGGCTTCACGAGGCTGTGAGAAGCGCTGCTTAGCCACACTAGGAGGGAGCACGCACACACTCAGTTGGTGTAAATTTTCTGGAAGGCATTTGAAATGGTGCAGCACAGAGCCTTCACAAAACAGTTGTAAAGGGGAAAGCCAAGGCAAGTTGAAGTTCAAGAAAGAGGTTAGATGGAGAAGCAGAGATATGGAAGGGGTTCAAAGAGCTAAAGTGCAACTTTAAAATATAAATTATTTTTAAAAAGCAGAAAAGAGGTTCTAAATCACTGCTGTTGCATAGGCACAGATCTATCCTGGGAAAGTGATTCCCTTTCCCTTCAGATACAATGGGGTGGGGGAGGGGAAAGTTTGAAAGGCTTAAAGCGGCTGCACATTGTTCAGGGAGGGGCCAGGCAGCTCCAGGGAGCTGAGTAGTGCAAGGTGTCCTTGGAGATGGGCACACAGTGAAGAGAAGTAGGGAGGAAGGCATTTTATGTTGTTAAAAAAAACAAAACAAAACAGTTCTGTTTCTCATCACTGATACCCTTTAGTTGAATTTGCTTCCTAAATGGAAAAGCTTACTTTAAAAATAAAAAGAAATAAATGTTTGTTTGTTTAAAAAATCTTGCTCAGACTGTAGATTAACCAATAACTCACAGACAAGTAAACAAGCCTTAGAAGATGCACAGAGATCTAAGCATGGGCTTCCAGCAAGTGATGAAAATAGTCATCCAAGACCCTGAAAAATGGCACCCTAACTAGGGTGGGCTATTATGAACTAACATTTTCAAGACACACAGAGCCTACAGAAGAATACTGTTCAAATGGAATGTTTAAAATAACATTTATTAATAAATATCTTATAAATTCTAAATTAATAGATTCCTGTTCAAATTTCGCTTTGGTCCTTGAATCCCACTGTACATACATACATATATATTTTCTTAGATGGTTTTATTACTCAAAAAGGAGGACATTCTATCCTAACTGAAAGGCTAGTGTTATAGATGTTACTGGTGCTTAAAAATAATCCCAGTTAAGGGCTGGGTTTTTTGCTTTTTGTTTTTTGAAGCTGGTTTACGATTTTAATGGCAAACTCCAAGCCACCATAATTTGCTTTCATAGCAGGCAACAGTCACCTGAACATCCCCCCACAGCCGTCTCTCTCAGAATATGCACTGCATTTTAGCTATTGACTAGTTGAGCTCCAAGGAGCGCTGGCTGAGCAAGTCACCCCGATTCTTAAGACACACACCAACCTGTCGCCCACAGGTTGTGTTGAGATGGTGACCCGCACACGTTGACGTGAGGGTGGGGAACGTAGGGCTAGGGTCCCCAGGAGACCACATCTAATTCGACATCTAGCTTTGAGATTAGTATCTTCATCCAGGATTGGGATTTTCCATCTCTCTGTGCCAGCATTACTGATTGAGAAAGGTGTCATGGGGAAACAATTAGCATGCGATGCCTTTATCTAGGTGAGTGAGGTGTACTGAGTTACCAGCTCTTGGCACACCAGGCTGGGAGGTCCTGGAGAAGTGCCCAGGTGGCTGGCAGGGACTGGAGAAGCAGATCCTGTGATAACGGAGTCACACAGGAGAAAGGAGGGACGGTGCTGCCGGGACTCTCCTTCCCTCCTGTGGATGGGGGCTCTGAAGGCCGTTACCACTGACTCTTAAAAGCCTGCATGGCTGACAACGATAACTAGCTAGGAGAAGACAATTAAAAGGAACTAAGAAGAACGCTCTCCCAGAGTGGCTGGCTTATGGCAGGCAGCACAGGGTCATTTCAGGCAGACTCTGCAATCTGGGGAAGGATGGGCCTTTATTGTGGGATCTCTACTAGGGATAAACCAGGAGTTAGATTTCACCAAGAAGTTAGAACAGTGGCCAAGCTGGCACCCTCACTGTAGCCAGACTGCAAACAAACACACCAAAGGCCCTGCACACAGCAAGAAGGCGGTTCATTCTAATTACATGTTGAGAAAGGTTTGCTGTGTGTGGTGGCATGCCTACTTAGCATAAAAAACAGACATAATTGAGCTATAAATAATGCACACCAGTCAAGCTGTCCAGTTACCGAATTAAGAAAACTCAGTCAAGTTCTTAACTGTAAAGGTGGCCCGTTTAAGAGCTAACTATTTGAGTGAAGAGATGGGACGTGGTAAACCCAACAGCATTACTTTAGTGGTGGAGCACTCCCTGGACATTGTGGTATTATTAGTGGATTAAAACAACAAAAAACAAAAAAACCTCCATTTCTTCAGGTGCTATACATGCAGGCAAAGAGGAAAGGGTCCTGTTCACTCAACACAAGCATAAGATAAAAGCTGCAAGCTCCGCCACTTCAATTTGCACCCCTTGTCTTTTGAAGGGAACTGAACACCTACCTGGTCTAAAGAAGGAATTTTGCAGAAAATTACTTTTGATTTCAAACCAGAGCTATGAATGTTAACTTCTTTCAAATCTAAGGCTTAAGCATTTCTTGGGAGGCCAGTTAGCTTAAACCATTTTATTACTGCTTGGAATTACAAAATAATAATAATAATAATAATAATAATAACAATATTAATTCAGTATTTAAAATACTTGAAAATGATATACTTTCCTAAAATACAATAGAAAATTTTCTTCACTCAAACTTCTTTCTTTTCTTTTCATTTTTCTTTCTTTTTTCTTCTTTTTACTTTTTTTTTGCATTTGTTTTTGATTCTTAGGCCATATGTCCTTAAGCTTTACTGAAGAGCCAAACTTGCCTCTCAAAAGCACAGCATACATGGAAAAAATTGCTGATAATTATTGATTTTTAAAGGAAATTATTAGATAAAACTGAGAACTAGTTATAAAAGTCATGCTTCAGAGCCCTCATATTTTCTTTTTTTCTTCCTCTAAAATAGAATTTTTAAACTATAGTGAGCAAAAAAGTACATCCTTCCTTTACTGAACTCTTATAAAAGTGACAGCTTTTGCAAAATACTGTTCTTTTAAAACTTACACTGTTCAGAAACACACACACATGCCCTCAGCCATACACACCCATGTGAGTGCGCACACACACAGACACACACACACACACACACACACACACATACTCACACAGATATACACGTTAGGAGGTGAAGTATTTGGGCAGAGATGAAACACCAGCATATGCCTAAACTGCTAGTGAGAAATACTAGCTCCTAGTATTTGTGAAACATGGTATGAAAACACCAGCAGAGAGAATGGCTTATTTCAAGGAGGCACAACTGTGGTTTGGGTTTGATCTGCTTTTCATAATGGGCAAGTCCATGGAAGTTGCTAAAAACATAAATCAGAACTATCCAGATGAGTGCACCAGCCTGGCTCCCTCTGCGGGACTCGGTCAGCAGCCAGAGTCTGACCATCTGGCAGGCCGAGAGCACCCTGCAGAAACACTGGTTTCGCTTCCTCTCTGTTTCTCCAGATCTGAGTATGCTTCTGCCCACCAGAACAGCAGAGCTGGTTCCATAGGCTTAAGAAAAAAAAAAAAAAAAACAATAATAAATCTTAGGCTATTAGCAGCTGATGATTGAACAATGTGATCTGTGTAGTGAACAGAGCCCTTCTGAACTATTATATAGTGCAGAGTTTTTATAGTACAGGATTTTTGAACATTATAGACAGGCTATAGAAGCGAGTTGTAATTCCAGGGTGTGATGTGAGAGCCCACATCCTAACTTGAATTTTCACAGTTGGGGCTCACAAAGTCCCCTCCCCTAGTGTCTCCACAGCTGGCATCCAACAGTGCTTCACCCATAACCAAACCACCTTTTATTCGCTGTGGTTATTAAAAACATTAAATCAAGCACATTAAACATCTTACTGCTTTGCGAAAGGTAAGAGTTGAATGAACTCCAGCTGTGAGTTAAACTCAAATCAAGCAATGGCTAGGTCCACAGTTTCAAGGTTTGCTTTTTCTCTTCTTTAAACATTATCTTCTTCTTCACATGCAAAGCTAAAGTGGAAAAGGCAGAAGAAGGTCAAAACAGAGAGTAAACAAGGGGTCCAGGAAGGTGGTCATGGAGAAGAGTATTGGACATCTGAGAGAGTGGACAAGAGCAAGAGAAGAGGGCCTGGGATGCTTGATGGCTTTTTTGGAACATCAACGGACCGTGCTTTCTTTTTTTCTAGCAAGAGAAAAAAAAAATTCAGGAAGGCCCATGTGTTTATCTGAGATTCTGGTGACATCACAGTATGAACTCAACATGACTTATGACATCATCAGATTTCCCACCCAGTTACTGTGGATCCATCACACTTAACATTGAAGTATACCTCATTTTGGCTAAAAGCTGTAGGTTAAGAAGATTCCTTGTTCCAGGCAAAGGGTTGGACCGGTAAGAAGGAAACCATGGCTATATACAGGAAAGGTTCCATTTATAAACAAGAACCTGGTACCAGAAAACTGGAGAAAAGCACCAATGCGCTTCCCAAGCTGATAGATGGATATTCATTGCATAACTCCCTTTTTCTTATATAACTAAGTATAAAAGACAACATTTCCATAATAACTATAAAAATGAAAGCCAGTCTTTGAAGGGCTGAGGCGTCTTCCAGGTCTGAGTTAATTCTAAAAATGCCCTTTGGAGAAAGGATGTATGGCATGCTACGGCTCTTCTCGAGGCCCAGGTCTGACCAGCTGCCTTTCTCGGAGGTCAGGTCTGACCACTGCCTTTTAAAGAATGGGATTCAGGTCTGTTCTGTGAGTAGTGAGCTGGCTAAGGGTGGAGCTCCCCACGACCTCGCTGACGGAGGAGGATGTAGTGATGGTGTTGTGCTGGATGACTTGCTGCTGGGAGCATGCCGGGACGGGGCTCGCAGGAGGGCTGCTCTCTGGACCTAGGAGAGAACACAGACACACCCACCAATATAGCTCTTTCTTGAGGGAAATCTCTTCAGGAACAAACACAAATGCTGCTAGACATTTGCTTCATATCACATTTTCTTTGTTTTAAACTGATGTCACCAAGCTAAGCCTCCCAAAACTTTCCCCATCAGTAAGACGACCCCGTGCACTTGAGTCTTGGCATCTAAACTTCCCCATCTTGTGTGTTCAGATAGCCATTCGTACATTAAATGTGGAAAAATACTCACATGTGCTGGGAGAATCTGTGTTGCTCAATCTAAAAAATTATTTGAAAACAAATTGACCTTCAGCCACGAATCACTGTTCCTCCCGCCATCCCTTATTCAACTAGCATTTAGTCTACCGACAATCGAGGTGTAGGAAGTGGAGGCAGGGAGAAGGAGGCCCCTGCTTTGCCTGCTGGTAAACTCAAATGGGGGTGGGGGACCAGGAGCTTTCCAGCCTGGTGGGCAGCATGCACTGTCTCCTGCGACCCTGGGAGGTAGCAATTCACCAATTGCTACCTCCCAGACCGAAAGTCTCTCAGGAGGACAAAGAGGCCACTAGTTATTGGACCCCCACAGACTAGTTTCTGGCTACAAAGCTGGAATTTGGTAATGTGAAATGCCAGCGGAGGGAAGGCCAGAAAGTATCAGGAAGTCTCAGGCATGGTTTTGGAAAGAGGTCAGGAAAGATGGCTGCACAACCTATGCTGTGCTTTTCCGTTTTAACAAAATTAAGTGCAAAATTAGTGACAAAAAAAAAAAAAATGTGGCTTCTGAAGAATAAAAGAGTGACTTACTTAAATATCCTTGTGATTCTTTTTGCATGGCCGTTATCGGGCAGTCTTTATGTGTTAACAACAACTGTTTCAGCTGGGCTACCTCGTTTTTCAACATGGACACTTCATTCTGGAAAGACATATTAAAACTACATTGAGAAGACCAAAGAAAGCAAACACAGAGTCACATCCACTTTCAAAAACAAAATTATCAATCTTTACTGTTTGTGACCAAATGGCATTGAGAATGATATTTTGAGAGATTGATCTAAGCCTTGTAGCTTTCCTTCAATTTGGCCCTCTTATTTGTTATGGGGCTTTTGAAGAGTCCAGAGTTTAACTCAAGAATTGAACCCTACTCATAAAAACCATACCGCTCCCTTTAAGCGTAGGCTCTGGAGGTAGGTTATAGCCCTATAGCCATGCAATCCGAGATCAATGACACAATCTTGTTAACCTCCGCTGTTTAGAGCATTTGGAAGACAGAGTAAAAATATGGTACTAGGTGACACCCATGATACGAACTTGCCTTTCCAGGTACAAATAACCTAGAAAGGAAAGTTCCTAAAAGTCTAGAAGCTATTTGAAAAATTTGAAACCGTTTTTGTTTTTCAGTGAATATCTCCCATTTTCAAATGCATTTGGAACATTGGATCAACTGCACTCCAAGTGGCAACGCCAATGAAGTACTAAGCATTTCATCTACAAAAGCTTTCCCCATTATCCTCCAGAGCACAAAATAATTCGAGACATCCACTTAACTATGAATAAACCACTTAATGGTACAAGAAAATTGCTCTTAAACCAGAGAGTTCTATGAAGGCAAAGAGTACCTTCCGCGTCCATAGCCCAAAGTGACTTTTGGCAATTCCGGGCCCAGTGGACAACTTTATTTTACCGGGAAATTCACACCAACCTTCAACCAACTCTTCTTTGAACTATAACCGAACTATGATGCCAAAATAATATTCTTTGTTTCCCTACACCAAGTTCTATTTTTTTAAAATAGTATGTACAAGAGAAAGTCACCTGTGGACTGTTATAGAGTCTTAAATAGCTACTTAAAAATGAAACCCCTCAAGCTAAAACGGAGAAGTGTTATATGCATATGTTTGCGAACGCACACAGCAAGATAAACTGCCCCAGCACTTGTCTACTTAGGCAGGGATGCTGGTCTGAACACACATTCCTGACCCCCCAGCAAGACAGCCTCAGCTGCAGAGGGTGCAGATGATAACACTTAGATGGAGGAGAACCCATACTTCTCTACTGTGGCCCAGAAAACAACTGGCAAAGTATAAAAGCCAAACTTGGGGGGTCTGTGAGACGGCTCAGTGGGTCAAGGTACCTGCCGCCAAGGCTAATGCACACGGTAGAAGGAGATCAGGTTGCCCTCTGATCTCCACGGGTGTGACATGGCACATGCATACCCCACCATAAGCGAATGCAATTTTAAAATTAGCAAACCAAACCAAACTGGATTATTTTGCTTCCCTGACACTTCTTGAATTAGAAAGCAATCTTTTTGGAGGGTTGGTGGCCATCTTGGAGAGGGTGAATTTAGGTTTTATGTTTTTCCCCATTGTGTCCTAGTCGGTGACCCTGTATAGGAAGCGTTTGAGCTCTAGCTATGGTGTGTCCGTTGTTTCGAAACACCAATAATGCCATTCACTAGCTTTCCACATCCCTGGAGCACATCCCAAACTCTTTCATAACATACTTTTTGCTTTCACAAAGCAATTTTACTATAAAACAGCATAAACATTCGTGCCTATCACTAAAACTGCCTGCAATTATATGACAGCATCATTGTGTCCATAAAAAGCAAACTACTTCACTAATGAACCACAGTGCTGTAAGTAGAGGAACTAAGGTCTTGAGTGGTAAAGTTCTGTAAGGGCATAGGAAGTTCTCTCAGGCCTGGAGAGATGGCTTAGTGGTTAGCAGTACTTGCTGTTCTTGGAGAGGACCTAGTTCCACATTGTAGCTGGTTTGTACCCACATGGTAGCTCACAACCATCTCTAACTCCAGTTCCAGAGAATTGAACAGTGTCCCTTTCCATCTCCATGGGCACTCACTAGGCATGTATGTAGTGCACAGACCTACATGTAGGGAAAACATTCATTTTTATATTAAAAAACTAAAGTGTATCTGAAAGCATGTGGGAACTCAGTGTTTTATAAACCGACCATCATTTAAGGATATCTTTGAATACGGACATATTTCTGATGATAGTAATTAACTGTGTTGTTTGGCCATGTTTGTGGTTGAGAAGTGGACACCGTTAACAACATTAACGGAGAGAAGCAAGCAGTCCCTGACTTCAAAAACCCATTACTCTGATGCAGCGGAGAATAAGCAAGAGCCTTGAAATGCATGCACAGGAATTTCCCAGGAAAAAGGAAAAGCAGCTTGCTCTAGGGTTGAGAATACTGGAGGAGGGGGGTGTTGAGGGGCTGAAGGTGTAGCCCAGTGGTACAGTGCTCGTTTGACGTGGACAAGGCGCCATGCTGCATCTCCATCACTGCAAACCAAACAAAATGATGACAGAGGTAGGGGCTGACTTTCCAAATCATCCCATCAATGTCCAAACCAAGATGGTTGGACTAGCTTAGTTCTTCCCAGAAAAGACAGCTTTTCATTCTAAAGTGATTTTGTGCTGCCTTTCTATTGAGAAAGCCAAACCCCTGACTGTCAAATGAAGGAATTGGTCCTGATCTTCATTTGCCAGTGAGATCTCTTGGGTATTCTCACAGATGTTTATACTCCAAGCCTTGTGTCTCATGAGGAAGCTATCTTCAGCACCTCTTCTATGACTAGATCTTACCAGTGCAAATCACAGTGCAGCAACCACAGCTTTCAGAGAGAACATATGCACTCATATGGAGAAAGAGTCTCTGAAGCCTCTGTCAGATGTCACAAGGGCCCTTTAACTTGACAAATGTCAAGAGCTGCTGTCCTGGGGAAAGGGAACTAGATGGGATGCTGCCCAGGCATGGCATAGCATGGCATGGCATCTCAGGACTGCATCTCCACAGGAGACCAAAGCAGCAAATACACAAACACTGCACGTTGCCGCTAGCCACAATCTTTTTCAAGGCAAGAGGACCAGAATCACCTTGAATTCATTTTGCAGGAGAAAAACCAGATAGCAAATGTTCCAAAAATGCATGAAAGGAGTCAAATTTGGCCTGGAAGTTCAGCAGGGAAATAAAAGCCAGAACTGTAGGAGGCTTTTTCCTCACTTTATGAATTGAGAAAAAAAAATCACCTTTGAAGTTCACCTCTGTTGGTTGAGCAACACCTTTGTTGAATGAGCACTGCTTCTAGGTGCTCATATAGAAATAGTGTTTAAAAACAAAGTGTAAATAACAAACACATTCTCCAGTTGAAGTTGAGCCTTTCCTTTTTTTGTTGTAGAATGAATTTGGGGCTGCTACTCTTAAAGCAGTTAGTTGTTTAGATAATGATGGTCAGAGGGGGATCCTGTCACATTGACATGTTTTTAAACCCATAAATCTGTCAGGGGTTGAAGTAGGGATCACATCGAGTGTTCCACGCTGCAATAACATCCTTTAAACAGCACGTTCGGAATTCCCTGACAGGCACATTTACAGTTTGGGGCTTTGGTGATGTCATTTTTGTTATATGACAAATCCACAATGCTTTTTGGTATAAGCTGGAGTTTGTGCCAAAACCATAATTATCACAAAGGCCCCAGTGTCCTACCCCTTTTTCAGATTAGCTGAGAGCAGGTTTGGTCCCTCCGAAACAAAGAACTTTCAATTTGTCAAGCAACAGTTTCCATCTGGCCCGCTCCCTTGCCAAGTCGCAGACCTGGGTTCGTGTGTCTAAAATTTCAGCATCAACTTGGACCATGTGTCTTTGTACTAAAAAGGAAAAGCAATTACTTTAGTGGGTGACCAGATGATTTCCATATCCCCATTGAGGGCAAGCGACCTAGGAGTGCCACATTAGCAGCGAGGTGCCTCTCCTCAGGCATCACAGAAGGAAAGATATCAAAGCAGTGGCTTAGAGCAACACATGAGTTGCTCAAGTCCTCACCCTCATACTTACTGGTTGTATGACATTTGGGGTGATGCCTTATCTCCCCAAACCTCAGTTTCTCCATATAGTAAAATGTCAGATTGGGATAGGCTTCTCTTAATCCTACGCCTGCGTTGACATCTCGGGTAGAAATTTGCTGTGAAACTGAACAAGCAGACTGGGATCTGTGTTTTGTTTTTCTGGGTCTTGTTTTTCCAATCCTAGGCTCTACAGCAGCCTAGCTAGAAGGTTCTGTTTTGGAAAACAACTCAGAAGTGGCGGCCGGCCACTCGGACCTGGGATATTCTCCTTGGCCAAAGTTCGTTTGCTTAGCACCTTCTCTTTCTGTTTACTTAAAATTTGGCCCGTGGAACCAGCCTCGGGAGAGACACCTTTTTCTTTTGACAGTGAGAGGAAGAGGGTCATTCAAAGGTAGCTGAGGCTGTGACATCCTCTTCTGTATCCTGGGGCATGATTTGCCACACACAGTATGGGACTGCAGTGGCTTCTGTCCCTTCGCAGCAAGCATCAGTAGGTGGTGTCTCACAGATAGTTCCTCTCTATCGCTTTTGTTACCAGAAGATACCAGTGTCTGCAGCATGGACTCCCTAAGGCTGAGATTTTTTTTTTTAACTCCAGTTTTTAATGCTTAGTACCTCTTTTTCTTGGCCCTCTTAGCTTTTTAGGACCTAAGATATTAAGCGTGCGCACACAGTGAATTAGTGTCTAGTAAAGGGTAACGGTACCTTGAATGCTTTTTGAAAGCATTCATAAATGAATGTATGTCAAGCCACAGACACAACTGACCTAAAACACATCTTTCTGTGTGGCTCTCTGCTAGGGCTCGTCTCAGTAAAGGTCCTGGAGTAAATGTGCAAGGACTCATTTTAATTTCCCCTTACTTAAAGTCTTATATCTGATGCATGTCTGCTGGCTATTCACTACTCTGTTTTAAGGAACTTCCACTCAATCAAAGATGATTTTTGTACTACCACACTCTCTGCTCCAAACAGGGGGCCATTGGCAATGTCTGGAGATGTTGTGGTTGTCATAACTGAGGGAGGGGTTTACTCCTGATTCTAGTATGTAGAAGCCAAAGATGCTGTGAAACAGCCTACATTACACAGGAGGAAACAAAGATTCCCAGAGTTAAGAGCACCCAAATCGGAAACCCCCTAGGTCTCCATCATCCTCCTGTAGGCCTCAATGGCTGAAGGTTCTTACTTTAATCATTGCTCAGCCAATATCACAATGTGCGCTGGGTCCAACAATCCAGAGCGTTCACTCATTTAACATCTTTGCAGAACATGCTTTAATTTTTAAAAATGTATATGTATATGTATTTCTGTGTGAATGTATGTCATGTGTACAAGGTACCCAAAGAGGTTAGGATGCCCTGGGAGTGGAGGCACAGGCAGCTACAAACCACTCTACATGGATGCTGAGAACCAAACTTGGGTTCTCTGTAAGATCAGCAAGTGCTCTTAACTGCTAAGCCATTTCTCCATCTCCCAATGAGGTTTTTAACACATGTCAATGTGAAAATGTTAACCTTGAATGCTAAAATGCTTATTCACATTCCCATTAAAAGTTTCTCACAGACTGTTCTGCCCTGCCTGAGTATGGCAGTAGATTTGAAAGTGTTTAGCTCCAGACATTGCTCTGTGGTTTGGTCCTCTGAAATACAAGCCTTGCCCAGCTGGTTAGGCATCTATGTCTGTGGACACTCTAGAGATATGGAGCGTGTTCAATGATTCCAGAGCACACATATCCTATGCTAGAACAGGGACTAACCAATAAGAAGGAGGTGCTGTGAGACATCATCCCATACTACAGGCAAAACTGTGTTATGATCTTACTTTATGTAAGCTGCATGTTTTATAACTTCATCATGTCTATCACAAAAGAGTTACACATTTAGGTCAGGGGGAGATAAATGCTTGTAAGTTATGGAATTCAGCCCATGGATACACCAATCTTCCTTTGCAGACTTTTGATTTGTACACTGGATGCCACGAATCCTTCTCATTTAATGCAACTCACAACACAAGGGCACTGGGGTTTGACATTACAAGTGCTCCTTCGAAAGGGCGCACTGTTGGCTGGGGATGGAGCTCAGTGAGTGAGCAGAGGGACTGCCCAGCATTTGTGAAGCCTTGATCCCAGCATCCCATAAAATTAAGCCTGATGTCACGTGCCTTGAATGCCTGCACTCTCCAGCTAGTGGCAAGGGGATCAGAGGTTCAATGTCATCCTTTCACACTCAGCGAGTTTAAGACCAGCGTGGGCTACATGAGAGTCTGTCTAAACACAAAATAAGATAAGATAAAATAAAATCTGACTGTAAATGTTCTGAGAGCAGGTTGGTGAGAGTATTAATTACTCATTGCCTTTCTATTTGGGTCACCTTACCCCTTTCCTTATGACCAACCATGGGATCCTCTCAGCTCTGGGAGGAGCTGGTTATAGCTAAAACTCTTCTCAAGGACCCTGAAGCTGTTCGTCATACGTCAATGTAATTGCCATTTTCTCTGGAGAACTCTCCAGAGAAGCCCCGCACATTGCTTACTTCCCTCTTCACCCAGGACAATCCCAGAAACAGCTTCTTTAATGATGTTCCCAGCTAAGCCACCCCTGGAAAGCAAAATCACACAAGATTCCAATCTTGCTGAGTTTGGAACCAAGATGGAGACAGGCCTTTACCTTTAGAGCACCCAAACCAAACAAAGAGACATAAAATAGTCTTCCCTTAAAAAACAAAACTACAGGCAATCGGGTGTATGCCTGGTGGACAATCGATGGCTTCCAGATGAAGAGCATTCTCTGCCAGGGTCCTAGCTAACTGCACCGTGCACATCAATTCACACCTTCCTTCCAACTCTGTAAAGTCATTCCCCAGAAACCGAGAGCCAGACAGCTTAAACACAACCAGTAGTCACTGAACTCAGGCTTAAAGCCCTGCTTCTGTGCTTGATCCCACGCGTCCCTCATCTCTTGTGGGAGGACTAAGGGAACCGAAGGACTGCTTAATGATGCTAGATGAGAGGGCCTGGGGTTCCTCTGAGGCGAGGTGTGTGGTAGGGTCAACAAGTTGCAAGGCAGGAAACGCCAGCTGTGACAAGGCCTGGGGAAAGGCTGGGGCCTCACCTGAAGCTGCATGTTTGTCTGGGTAAGCTCCTCTGCTTTCTTTTCCAGTGACATCACCCAGACCTTCCTCTTCTGTCTGCAGCGGGTGGCGGCGGCCCGGTTCCTTTCCAGAAATTTCCTCCGCCTCTCATCTGGGTCCTCATCCACCACCCTTCGCCGGCGTCCCCCTGTGGGCTGGGGCGGTTGTATTGTCTGTGTTGGCTGCATCTGTTGTGTGGCTGGTGAGACCTGAGGGGAAGGAGAGGGAGGAACTGATGGGGACAGGGAAGAGCAAGTTGGGTGAAGAAAACTCCCAAGCCAGTGTTACAAGAGCAAAGCTCAGGAAGCCAGTTGCTTTTTAGTAAGCACATGACATTTGCTCTCAGTGAATGAAATAAGCAATGAAATCATATTTGTGAGAGCAACAGTCATTGAACTACAGTCCATGTGTTTGGGCCAGGTGACACAAGCAGGTGACTTTTTCCCTGGGGGGACATTTGGAGAATCATGGGGGGAGGGAAGCATTTGTTTCTCCTACAGGTATCGAAATGTTTTATTTCAGACAATTTAAAGAACATGAAATTGGTAGTGGATAGCTACTGGGTTGAGACAAGTGTGGCCAAGGCTACTGTTATAATAATGTTTGTTGGTTTAGTTTGGTTTGGTTTTGGTTTTCCCAGAAAATGTTATGGCAGATTATAGGCTCTTTTACTTCCAAATGTGTTTAAAATTGCATCAATGGAGCACACTTCTGGGATACTGTCACCTCTGGACTCCTATAGAAGAGCCTTGCAGATTCAGAAGGCAGCTGGGGTCCTATTTCCTGTTCAGTCTAATACCTAGGGCTAACTGAACCCACAAAAGCCAGATGGGTGTGGCCTGCAAGGTCCTCAGGGCTCTGATTAAAGAGGATAGAGTTCCAGGCGAGTTTTCTAGTGACTTGGGGAAGGGCCTTGGAGCAGCTAGCCATTGTTGCCAGCCCTCTTCTCACTTACACACAGTACCTATGAGACAGTGAGGACAGGTTGCCTAACAGATACCTACACTATAAGGAAATCCTAGGCGTGGTCATATACTTTATTAAAAAGTTTTACTAAGCTTACAGACTCCTCATAAGGTCTATGTGGGACTCCAAAACATGGAAAGGTGGGAGACCCCCACACAGACAGCTTTATTTCCCTCTAAGAGGCAGACACACAGTCCCTTGTGAAATTTCTATGACTCTCTCTTTATATGTCTGGACACCTAATGCTTTCGCTAATGCACTTCACTCCTTGCTCCCTCTCCTGTTTCTCAGTCACCCAGGTTTACAGTTGTAATGCCTATAAAGTTGTTTTACAAGAGACATTTAACCCACAGAAATAACAGGCAAAGAGTTTTCAAAAGCTAAGCTCAAAACCTTTTCTAGCACATTCCAACTCTATGATTGAAATCAATCAGAATGACTGTAATTGCGCTAATAGTGGCTGTGGGTTGACATCAGTTGAATGATGGTGATGTATCTCCATCCTAAACTCTGTCAAACCTTCTATGACTAACTGTAAAAGAATCAGGCTCAGGAGGTCGGTCAGACTGCATCTCGGTAATTTTATCTAAAGCAAAGACATTTTCTGAAACTCTTTATTGACAATTCCTTTCCGCCCAACCACAGAGGAATAACAAAATAAATTACTTTTCTAAGGTCTTACTCACTGGGTGGCTGCTGATGACATAATCTTTGCCATTGGCCAAGATGTAGCAAACTGTCATTTCAGACACTGACCCCCTGAGCCAGCTGCTGCAGAATTAGGCAGCAGGAGCAAGCATGCCGGCTTTTGCTGGAGGGCCGTTTTCACATCTACTCTTCTTTTGTGAGATCTCTTACTATATTGATCCTATACAAGATGGAATTAAGCAAAGCTGGGTTTTATTCTTTACAGCAAGGACTTCTCAATACCATGTCCTGCTCCCCTAACTCTAATCAACCTTATGCTCAGATACATTCCTTGAACCTTCATCCTGTGTGCAAGGATGAATTCAGGATCAGTACAGGCCCAGGGCTTGACCTGGGGGAATATTGGTTAAGAAATGTTTCCAATGACCATCAAGCATCACCAGGATTCTGAACTGATGCCTACATTGTGCAGGAAAATCATGGGACTCAAAGGAAGCTGGGAGAATTTGAAGAGACCGCCTAAAACCAAAACCTGCATCCCTGTTAATTACTGTGACTCAGTATCTTATGTTCTGGATAGAAATCTCCTGGCAGGATTTGCTTTGCAAATTTTGATCAAAAATAATGAACAGCAATTTGAAGAAGGCAGAATTTGTCCCAGATTGACTTAGACTCTCAGACTTAGAAGGGCCTTCAGAGATCTCTGTACTTACTGTTCAGATGATCATACAACTGAAGAACTTGACAAGATCTTGTCAGTAATGAGCCATCTGCATATAACCTAAGAGTGGTATTTTAGAATACTGTGAAATGATCTCCAGATATGGAGTTTTTCTTTTTAGAATAGGATGTAAAAACGAAAATCTGGGTGCAACTAATTACAATAGCAATTAGCTAATTGCATATACAATTGGGCACTTACTGACTTGAAACAGGGCAATTGGCTAATTGGCACTTAGCTAATGAATGGCTTTCATATTTAAAAAACTGGTAAAATTGCCTCTGAAATAACTTGCCCTGAAATGTGCCTAAACCTTTATGTTCTATACTTCAGAAACAACACAGAGTGAACCAACCCACTGCCATTGTCTGAGATGCTTTTCTTTCTCCTTTCTGATGCATGTCCCAGTACAACTGTTAACCGAAATGTGAATAAAAGTGTTCTCTGGGGAATGTTTTATTACTGAATTACTTGCTGAACGTCTTTTGAATCGTTTGGGTTTAGAATTGATCCTGGCTAACATGTTTTGAAAACCTTTATAGACCGTTTGTGACTTCATAGTCATGAGAGCCTATAAATTTAATCAATTGCGATCACCTCTTTGAAAGCAGAGGCTTGTGGGGGGCTAATCTGTCTGTCTATAGTGACCCAAGTCGGTCAAGAAAAGAACTGGTTTTGCACTGTGCAGCTCAGCCCTTCTTGCTGTGTAGGGCGCCGCTGAGGATCTTTGCAGAAGTGAATGTATGTAGGGGATAGCTTCTGCCATCTGGACAAGCCCCTACCCCTTCCTTACCTTTCCCTGCTTGGGTTTGTTAGGGCAGGGAACTTGGGAGCTCAAAGCACTTGCCTCCAGAGGCAGACAGCAAAGGAGAGAGTGAATAAGCATTCCTTGGCAGACCCTCGCTCCCAGCAGCATTCTGACCCAGCTGGTTGGGACTGGGCAGTGTGGCATGGGTGGAGAAGACTGTTGAAGGTCATCTTACTCGAAGCCCCACGGGGACTCACCGCACTCTTGGAGCTACTCAGGAAAGCCCAGTCCTGTACAGGGCCTTGCTTGTCTTTTTAGCTTGGGTGACATAACGTCTGCCTGGTCCCCCAACTCTCTTGAAGTGCAGTCGCATGCTTGTTCTCTTCCTGGCTAGCCCTGGCGACTCCCCCACCCCCTGGGATTTGACCTTTCTCTCGGTCTGATCATCAGCAGAGCTTGGCTGCCTTTCTGCTTCCTCCAAACTGTTTCACATTCAGAGATGAGTCACTTCTCAGTATCTCTACAGCACCTTGCGCCCTTGCATTCCTTAGTGAGCTTCTTTCCGTCAGGGATGGTTACTCTTTAGCTTTCTAACTGTTAATTCAACTGCTCCTTTATTTATTCCTCCTGTTATGAGCTTAAGTTTCTTTTAATCCTATCTATTACCTATTTTTTAAAATGAACTCTGTGATACACTTGCCAAACAAACAAACAAAAGGTTTTGGGGAACTTTTCATTTGTCCCTAGATATTGAAGCTAAAATTTACTACATTGTTTACAGAAGCTCTGACCCAGTCGTGTCTTATTGCTCGCAATCACCTCCTAGGAGATGGACAGAGCTCCCGGAATGTCAGAGGGGGTACCCAGGCTTATCAGACAAGGCAGCATCAGATGACTGCAGAGCTAGCGCTGTTAGCGAGGCCATGAAGAGCAGAGAAAGGCTGGGGAAAGTCTACCTGGGCTTGGTTGCCGGTGTGCAGGGGTGGGTGTGGTGAGGTCTGGTGGTGTGCCGGGTGTGCATGAAGGTGGGAATGGGAGTGGGGGTGGGGGTGGCTCTGCTGGTGGTGAGGCTGCGGGTGAGGATGGTGTGCAGGGTGCTGGTGCTGGTGTGGGTAGGGGTGGTGGGGCGGCAGTGTCTGGTGCTGGTGCGGGTGCGAGTGCATGTGGTGGTGAGGCGTCTGGTCTTGCCGGGAGCCCATCATCTCCATCATGTGTCCGATGGTGCTCATGTTCCCATTTGACATGGCAGCAGGGTGGTGAGTCAAGGCGGCCTTCAGCCTCTGAAATGGAATGAAAGAAGGGGGAAACTGAGGTCAGTTGTGTGCACAGTATGGATTCGGAAGCAAAACGATACTTTCAGTTCTACAATATTTTTGGTACGATTGTTACACAGCTATTGTGAACAGGTAGCTGTGTAGAATTTTACTTTTTTAAAAAAATGTATTAGGATGGGTAAGAGGGTCACTGTTAGTTCTGTTAACTCAACTGTTACAACAAATGCATAGGATATCCTACCAAGATTTACTAAAAGGCATTTCCTACTGTACCATGTCTTATTGATAGCAAAATGTAAGTACAAACCAAATGAAACCATTATATGACAATGCCATTAACTGGAGGTCTCCTATCCTCACCAGTGTGCAGAGACCACAAGTAGAAAAGATTCTGTCTGTCAAGAAATTTCTAAGATGAAAGGAAGAGAGCACATCACATTTTAGCATGCAGGAAAATTACTATTATTATTTTGAAAGTTCAAAACACCCTTAGCCATCTGTGTGGCGGTGTAAAATTCTTCTGCGTATATTACCATGGCATGTCTCATGACCCTCCTGAAAAATTGTCTTTCTGTCACACAGTAAGTTTCTTCTAACTTCAAGTATGAAGTGAGGAAAGTAGAATGATCTGTGGCATTGTGCATGGACTTCTGTGATGGCCAAATCAATGGTCCAGGCACATGTCCACTGAGAAACTTCCGTCATTACACCAATAGTGTGCACACCAATAGCTTCCCCATGAACCTAAATCACAGGCAAGCCCATTTTATCAGACAGATTCTTCATCACTGTGAACTTCACCCTTGGTCCAGCCACCCTGACTGCCAAGCAGCTGTAGAGAACATGCTTACTGTTCTGCTAGGCAACTTCATTTATAGACAGGAAATGGGAATTTTATATAATATTTATAACATGAAATATTATTTACTTTCTTTCTTTAGATTTTTTTAATCTAATCACTTAAAATGTCAAACCCATTCTTAGCTTATGATATACATAGTTAGACCACAGTGTGAGATTTGGTCCATGGGCTAGGATCAGCCAGCTACCAGTTATTAACCTAGTTCCTTTAATTTTGTTTTCTGTGTGGGAGGCTATCCTAATTCTGAGGATCCTGTGTGCTAAAACATACTGTAATATAGTTAATCCTGAGAGGACATGAGAGTCTTCTTGGCAAGCTCACTCACATTGGCTTTATGAAAACTAGGAGGCTCAAATTCTCTCCAGATTTGTGCTCTTATCGGACAGAATTGAATATCATGAGATATAGGAGAAAAGCCTTTATGTGGGCACAGAAGCCATAGTACTGTAGCCAGCACATCAGTTTTCTCAACCAACTCAGCTAACCAAATTTTTATTTAAACATAAAGAGCTCCCCCCCCCAAAAAAAAAAGGACAGGTTGATACTGTGTTGATATAGCTCATCCACACCTCTTCTCTGTGTTGTGATTCAGCCACCACTGTGTCTACTCACTTCTTAAAGTGAGCAGCAGACACTGCTGGGACGCAAAGGGCTTGCTAAGGACAGTCTGGAGGAAGGTGAGTTTCCTGCATCCTGGGAAAGCCTAGGCTTTGGGTGATTACTACTAGACAGAAACATGAAATGATACTCCCCATCTCTGTGCTTGAGAGATGAGCTCATTGTTTTTGTAAAAAAAAAAAAAAAAAAGTGCTCATTATAAAAAATTTAAGCCATGCTTAAGAGTGCAATGAAGTCAGCCACTTGGAGCCAGATGTGGTGTTTGTGCTGGTGGGCGAGAAGCATTCCAGAAACCCACATTTGCATACAGAGAACAGGAGGAGCAGGTGGGATAATTGTGCTAGCAGAAAGCATAATGAATGTTTGATTTGGGATGAATCGGTTCAGATACTACTTCTTTCCTTGAGTGGAAAGCCTCTGCATGCTCCTTCAGAAGTTAAAAGGGGGAAAAAAAAGTATGAACGGGATTATGCTGAAGTTGTGTTTTAATTTAAGTTGACTGACTGAATAATGCCAATGGAAAATTTCTACGCTTTTCTTTTTTCTTTTTTCTTTTTTTTTTTGCTTTTAAAGTTTCATTATACAAACATAGACCACGCATGTAGTGTTAGCACTGAAGAAGATGAGGGAGACAGCTTTCACGTTTAAGGCCTGACTGGGTTACAGGCACACACACGTCTGCATGCAGTCTCATAGTTTAAAAACTCAACTGGTTCAAGGGCACTTGTAAAAAAGTAAAAGCCACTTGCTTAGCTTCTCCCCTTTTGCCCTAGTTTTGTTCCTCTTCTTCACTGGCATGTACCCTCAGGCAATGATTTAGGGTGTTTGTGCCAACCTTTTCTACTGGAGTTTTTTTGTTTGTTTGTTGTTTTTTTTAATATGTTGTCTTTTATTACTTTAGCCCCTTTTGTATCCATCAAAGTAGCTAATTCGAATGATCAAGCATTAACTGAGCACTGGCCTGACCTCACTCTAAGTTTTGTAAGTATTAAGTCCCTAGGTTTCAGAACAATACTACAGGGATAATGCGAAGGGGAAGGCACATGCTTATGCCGGGATGCTGGTGACAGGCAGGTGCCTTTCTCTGAATGGGAAAGCGAGTGTGGGAAGCCATGTCATTCACCCACTCCAGGAAGCAGGGATTAACTCTGTTGTGGCACTTCCCCATGACCAAAAGGAAAGACAAAAAGAAAAGGAAGGGCTAGTAGACTTGGCAAGGTAGAGGCCATGCTGCAGGCTGCAAAAGTAGACGTTTGTCGGGCACTCTGAAGGCAGCTGGACATGGGAGGCACTCTATCTAGGAGGAAGGGAAGCGCTGCCGAGAATTTCTAGGGGACCTCCTGCAGCACAGGGCCATCATGGCTGGCTATCTTCTCTCTCCTCTCTGTCTCTCTGTCTCTCTGTATTTGTGAGGAGTTATTCTTACATCCACTCATACCAAACGGATACAGTAAGCCTTGGCCAGGCCCTGCAGTGGAAGGCTTGCTCTCCCCACACAGCCATACTGGTCTACTTCTATGTAATTTTAGGGCGATTATTCTACCAATATCCATTGATCACCCAGATCAGGATAATAGAACTATCTTTGGATTTTGTTAAGTGTTAACTTCTCAGCTTTAGTACAGACCAATACATAATTATAGAGGAAATTCATGTATGAATGAATGAGTGACCATTCCAAGGCTTAGGGCGGAAATGTGGCATTCTTATCTTGGAACACCACGTATGGTTTTTGTTGGGAGGATGATAAATTTGTTAGCAGAAGTCATGGAGGCCTAGAAGTGATGTCAAAGGACCTGCTCTCTCCATACCCACCCTGCCCTCTAGAAAACAGCAGAGCAAATGAAGCACCTCTGATAGAGGGTGCACAGTAAATCCGTCTTCATCTGTCCTTGGAATCAAGGCATGGAAAATTCAAAGGCTGTGCTGGAGTGGGGCATTGCGTTGTCTCTTCAACGCCATAACCGACTTTCCCACCTTTAATTGGGAGCAAATGGAGCCTGACAAATACATACTGTGTACCAGATCTTCATCTCTCAAATAATTAGCTTGTACTGGTGAAGGGAAATTACTTGATTGCCTCAAGTCTGTTCTTGCATGTTCCAAGCCAAGGCAATAACACTAGCAACGCTAATAACATTCCATTTAACTATTTATTCACCCAGCAAACATTTATTAGGTTTTGACTCTGTGCCAGCACTGCACTGGGCACTTTGTTATTTGCTGTGTAAAATAAATGGAAGAGACATCAAACCAGGGCTTTCAAAAACCAGCGGAGAGAAAACATACACTACGGTATGGCAGAAGACTTCGAGGCCCTTAGAAACCTTTGGGCCTGGGCTGAGTTTACCCTCTAGCCCTCGGCCTCCATTGCAGTTGAAGCCATTCAGTTCTGCAGCTGCTTTGCACATGTCCCCTCCCCCCCCAACCCATGCCACTTCAGACCAGTTGGGGGCAGTTCTTAAAGTCATGGGACGGCTCCTCTCCTGCGTTCCGGTGCCAAAGGGAACACATGCACTTCGAACCGTTAAAGTACCCCCAATATAGATAAACGCACCCCCACTGCCTGAGGTATGATAAATGACCAGCAAATGAGTCCAAGCTGTATTTTGCAGAATGAGTTTTCTTTTTGAAGCCGAGAGGTTTCTTGTTGTAAATAATAGTCTGTCAGATGCAGGAAGACAAGAGTGCAAGATGGACATTAATAAATAAATGGATTTTTTTTTCATCTCTAAAAAAAGGAGCTGTGACTGAGCTGAGACTGCAGGAGAGAACAAGGAGATTCAGTTGACTTTCTGTCGTTTTCTACTATGGCTGTGCATTTGAGAGAGAGAATCTGGGGAGAATGCAGGATCCTGACACACAGTTCATCTTTTCTCTATCTGCGTGGTTCACCAGCCGCATGTTTGCTGTCCTGGTGGGAGTGTAGGCCTGCTGTCCTGGCACTGAATCCTGCCAGGAAACTAGCTGCCCACCTCTCTCCATTTCAGTGTGGCCACTGCGGAATGCCAGGGGCCAGCCCCTCTCTGAAGTTAGCCCAGTTCTGTATCACAGCGTATCTCGTGAATTCCAGACACATTCATGTCGTCAGTCTCACGAGCATGTGGGAATGTGGGCTTGTGTGAATACACACATCCGTATACATAACACAAGCATGGCACCCTCACACCCACACACGCCCCAGGCGGTCTTTCTCCCATTAGCAACTTGCTCATGCCAATTAGAAACATTTGTGTAATTCAAAAGCTCCTTCAGTGAGGTGGATCATCTATGCTTTGCCTCATAGCCTTGGAAAGCCAAGCCAGATTATTAAACTTTACTTGAAATTCAACTGGGTGGGCAAGGTGGGAACATTCTTTCTAGAAAGCTCTTAATTACAAATTGCCATTTGATATGTGATCACACCAAAATGTAGTTTTCACCACAAGTAAAAATCTAGCTACATACAAATATGGCAAAATATGTGTTTCTAGTTCACACTTAACACAGTTATTGCCACTGTTAGGTTCCTCAAAACTTTACTTCAAGGTGTAATTTCTTCTTTCTTTAGCATTCTTCACAGAGTGGTACCAAGGGAGAGATTAGTATCAGCTTCTCATGGTCTTCAATCATGTGAGACCAAGGGCTTTGATGGATGTGATCTTTTAGTACCAATGGCTGCTCTCCTTGCAAGGACTTCTGAAATTAACATAGTTGATGAGTTAATGTAAGTAAATAAAATTTAAGTAAGTTATTTATTCACTGACTTTAATACCTACAAAGAACTAGTTTAGATTCTGAGTGCATCCTGACTTAAGAATATAAGAGCTAGAGTGGATGCCACAGGAAAGGAACATGAGCTCTGAGCAGCATACGTATGATACATTTTAATATCCAGGACCACACGTGGGCTTCAGAGTGTCTCCTGAGAATTACTGTATAAGCTTGATTCTTAGAACCCAAACATCTCAGAAGTTTTACAAAGATAATCAACTAAAATCATACTCATTTTTCATTATGGACTCCCATTGGCCTGAACTGATGGGAGACTGCCGGGATATCCTTTGCAACCTTGCTCACTAGAGGAAGGACTAGAATTGACATTTGCTTCATGATAAATGTTATTGGAAAGGTGTGTGGTGTGAATGTTAAAAATAAGGAATGAGTAACCTTTATTTCAGGGAATTAAAAAAAAAAAGAAAAACAGGAAGAAAATGAAAACATGGAACTTGAAGTAAAGAGCTTTGAGTATTTGTTATTGTTTTGAGATGGGCTCTCACTGTGTGGCCCAAGCCTTGAACTCACTGGGATTGGCTGGCCTTAGCCTCCTACGTGCTGGGAGTAAAGGTGAGCCGCCACCACCTGGGGACTCTTGGTTCCCAGTCTTGCTCTACTAGCTCAGGCAGCAGTCCTGAGCTTTAGATTCCTCTTTTATGAAAAGCAAATGCATGATAAGATGAGAAGAAGTATATATAGAGTGTCATGGGGCAGAGGAGGGATGCTTTGTGAGTGGGCACTTAATATCAGCTTTTCATGAAATAGAAGAAAGCAGGGCCAGTGAGATGATTCAGAGGGTAAAAGCACTTACCGTGCATGCTTGAAGACCTGAGTTCAATCCCTGAATCCCAGGATGGAAGGAAAGAGAGGCAATTCTACACTAATTCTCAGCAGATGCTCTGAAGCCCACGTGTAGTCCCAGATATGCTGCTCAGGGCTCATGTTCCTTTTCCATGGCATCCACTCTAGCTCTTATATTCTTAAGTGAGGATGCACTTAGAATCTAAACTAATTCTTTGTAGGTGTTAAAGTCAGTGAATAAATAACTTACTGAAAACTGGGCTTAGTCTTCCCCTTATGAACCATGTTATGACATACCTGAACTCTTAGATACCACCCCCTTACACACACACACACACACACACACACACACAGAGAGAGAGAGAGAGAGAGAGAGCGAGAGAGAGAGAGAGAGAGAGAGAGAGACTCACACACCAATAAGAAGAAATAGAATTCTAAAAAGAAAACAAGAAATAAAAACTCCTTTCCTCAGCATTAACATACTTTGGTTTTACTTTAAATATAAAAAAAAAAGTTCAGCAAAACCATAAAAGATAATGAAGTATCAACTATACCACAGCATGTCATAAACATTACAGTATATTTTTAAAAGCCAGACACAGAAGGTCACATTTATATAAAATATCTAAAACACACAAAGCCAGAGAAAAGACTGGAAGTGGCTGGGGACTGGGGAAGGGACACAAGGCCCTTCTGCATGACAGAAACACTTTGGAAGTCCAGAGGCGACAGCCACACAGAGGGTAGTAAGAGCTAGTGAGGCGCATGCTCTAAAGTGGTTAATTTTATTAGAATTTTGCCTCAAGTTGAAAACCATTAAAAAATAATAATTCAAAAGGCTGTGTTTATGGATTAGTAGCAGAGCTTTTGTTTAGCCTGGGTTCCAACCTGTGCTGGCTAGTTTTACGTTATATTAACACAAGCGAGAGTTATTTGGGAAGAGGGACTTTCAGTTGAGAAGACACACCCGTAAGACTGGCTGATGGGCAGGCTGTGTGGGTGTTTGATTGACTGACCATTGCTGTGGGAGGGCCCAGCCTGCTGTGGAGGGCCACCCTTGAGCAGCTGGTCCTGAGTGCTGTAAGAAAGCACGATGAGCAAACCGCAAACCGCAAACCGCAAACCACGAGAGCAGGGCAGAACGCAGCACTCCTCTGTGGTCTCTGCTTCAGTTCCTGCCTCGAGGTTCCTGCCTGGAGCTCCTTCCTTGATTTTTCCTGGGTGATGGACTACAGGCTCTTAAGGTGAAAGAAATTCTTTCCTCTCTCGGTTGCTTTTAGTGTTTTATCACAGCAGTAGAGACCCAAGACACAGCCTCAGCACTACAAAGATAAGAAGCTAAAATAAAAGCCAAATGAGAATCTCTTTCCTTTTGACAGAGTGCTGACAGAAACGTCATTTGACAAGGACCAGGATGCCACTGGAAGCACAACACTGCCTATGAGAGAACAACAAAAACAACGCTGGGCTCTAAATGACAACAGCACGTTTCCAGTCTCTAGGAGTTTGGCTCTTCTGCAGGAAACTGGACTACTCCTTTTCTTCCAACGCTGTCATCTGTTAGCTGGCTTGAAACCAAAAGAAATTGCAGAAGAGATGGTCCCAACCTTGTGACACAAAGCTAGCAGAAGGTTAGATATACTGGCTGCCAATACTACAAGACTGCCCTCTACCACGTGAAATTCAACAGGAGTGAGGCAATACCTTATCCTTGGTTAGCAAAACGAATTTTAAAAAACCTATTGTCAAAACAGTCTAAGGAAGACAGAGCTTGACACAAGCACATGCGTGACAGGATGTGGGGATTCCGTAGAGCATCCTTCGCAATACAGCCATCGAATCTGCTGATGGGGTTTTCCAGTTAAATCTGCACTAATGGATTCGCTAGAGAAGTCCTCATTCATTAGAGCAAGAGTCTGGTCATACCACATATGAGTCCATGTCTCTTCCCTTGCCTGTCCTCCTCAAATGTCTGCGTCAGATCTCATCAGTAGTGGGGTTTCCTCTGGAGAGTATTAAAATCACCATTTGGGCATCATGAGGGTTTCACTTTCTCCCCTGTAGGGTTGGGGTGGGTGTCCATTATTTACATGTCCTGGCATGTTTACCTGTTTCAAGTATTCATTGTTTTTAATTGATGAGTTGATCCCTCTAGTCATGGTCAATTGTTAGGCAAGAGATGGCGGTAAGGGGTGTGTGTGTCCACATGTGTGTGTGTGCATGCACACATTTTACGTGTGTGTGTGTGTGTGTGTGTGTGTGTGTGTGAAGAAATGAAGAAGACATGTCACAATTTTTCACTTTAAAAGGCCTGTTCTTAGGCTGTCCTTTCTTGTTCTAGCCGTAGCTTGGACGCCAGGTGAGCTTGCCCAGCTCTATAGCTCTTTGTTCGTATAAGCCACTGAGCCTACACATCAAGGGATGACCTCAAGTAGCAATTTGCCCCTAGAATATAGAATCTGCCAGTTTCCCTGTGGATTTTAAAGGTACCGGGCACACAGTGGGCTTCCTGAAAGCTGCCTGCAGATCTCCCTGAGTAGGACCTTCCCGTGCTATATCTTGTAATTTCCTCAAGTAGAAAGAACCTTTCAGGTGGCAACTGTGGAGAGAATGATCCCTTTGTCTTGTTGCTCACACTTCTCAGCCCTAAAAACCCCAACACCTGCAAACCTAGATGCCTTCAGGAGGGGGCCTATTTCTGAGTTTTATAGAAGAAATGTCTATTGGAAAAACAAAATCCCTTGTTATGTTATTTCAGACGAGGACGTATTCGAGATCACTGGCAGTAACATATGTTAGAAAAACAGAACTTTTGCATTTATAATTCACCATGGAAACTCCATGCTAACACAGTACTGAGTTTAGGGTTTTAACTGCAGAGAACTCAGGAAATTTAGAGTTAAGTTCTCAACAGATTTCATTTTATATGCACATCACAGGGCCTTCCCTGGGTTATGATCCAATAATTTGGCAAAGGAGGTCCAATGAATAACGAAGGAAAGGGTTTCCTCCTCACACCAAAGTTCCCATAATCTCCAGCAAGATGGCCTGAGAACAATTTTCCATAACTCATACCCTCTAAGAGCAATGCTTTGCCAGGATAGGTGACAACAATAACCTATGGTATCTGATGCTGAGGGTACGGGACTTGGCACAGGGCTACACTGGTAGGACAAGCAATTCATTGCCACCACCTCATCCAGTCCATCAGTAGGTCATTACCATGCTCTTGTGAGGATAGGTGCAGCCAGTAGGCAGTGCCCTTAGCTCTCTCTCCAGAGGGTACCTCAATCACCATGACACCCAAACTTCGGAATCTGAAGTCTGTCCCTAAACTCCACAGGGAATGGGAAGGACTTCCTGTGGCCACATTTCTGGCTAGCCCCTGAGTTGACCCTGATAAGATGTGCTGATGTATCATCTTTTGGCTTCAGTCCAATTGTATGACATCAAGCCCCTGCTGGAGTCCTCAGGGTGAAGGGCCCCGGAATTGCTTGTAGGAAGAAATCTCCAGGTGTTTCTCTTATTTCTGGGGGAGGTGATGTTTGTCCAGACCTGAGGCTATTTATGGATACTGGAGGAGGAGGGTGAGAGGATGAGCAAGTATGATTGGTACTAAAGTACCTGGTAACTTACTCTTTGAGTTTCAGGGTGTTAGTGGTCCGAGAACCATTTCAATGCTAACTTCTGTTGGCTCTACCTTCATGTTAAAGAACTGCAGGCCCACCCTTTTGGTCTAGATTATGATTTTTGACTCATCTGAAAGATGACAATCATCTTTGCCATTAGCTCCATGGCTCTACACACTGGGTTTCCATTCTGTCCTTATGAACTTCCTAGTCTCCCTTGGCAGGGAGAGCAGAAAGAAAGCTGAGCGACTCTGATGGTAGGCAAGTATTATATAGAGATACCATCACACCCAGTGTTCATGTGTGTTCTTGAAAACCACATCAAGAACATAACATACATGAGAAACACACATACAAGGTAGAACACACATGAGAGAGAGAAAGAGAGAGAGACAGAGAGCTTTCCCTAACCTAAATGTATGCATTTAAAGCATTTCAAATGTAGGAAGGGCAGAGAGTTTTAGTTTACCCTGCTGCTTATATATGTATGTAGCAAGAAGCTGTTCTGGAGAAAGCTTTAAAATCACTGCCAAGTAGACACATCCAGATCCCTCTGATGCTCTTCTACATTTTAACATTGTCTTGGTAGTAGTGTGAGGAGAAAA